ACTTGGTGACATCTGATAAAGTCCTTAATGATGAATGACGTGCCAGGTGGAGTCCGTTATTGCTGCTCCACTTCAAGTCATCCACCTTCTAGACTATTCCTAAGGGAGATCATTATGGGTCCATTTTTCAAGTGTTTTGTCTGAAAAAGAGCCCAAATTTAACTTCTACTGAGAATTATGTGAACTTCTGGAAGTACTTATTTCACTGCTTTTAAATGAACTCAATTCTTATTTTTTCATGGGAACTCCAACTTTTTTTATTTTTTAACCTTAAGCCTTTTTATTTGTAGCTTTCAGTCCTCAGTTTGAGCCCCTCTAATGGAAAATCTCTGGATTTCAGCACTCTGTATTTAACCCAATATGTTTCTTTCTAGGGTTTAGATATTGTGCATGAAAAACTACATAGTGAATGGTTTTATGAGTTCTCAAGCTAATATAAATCACTCTTGTATTTTCCTATATCAGGAACTAAAGATGGAGGAAGCTATGACCCACACAGGTATTCACATATTTTTTTTATTCTTGGAAACTTCTTTCCAATAATTGCATGTTCTCACCATTCAAACTAATTTCTGCTTCTTACCATGTCTCAGAACATAGCTTGGAGTGCATGCTTTTTCTAACTGTGTTCTTCATCACATTTGGTCCCTGGTTATAGATCTTTAGCTTTGCTTTTCCATCAGTTCATTGACCCAGCAAGCTGCATCTCCAAGCACTTACTCACTCTCATGCTTGTGTGCTTGTTGGGTGATGCTTTGGAGCATGGAATGATGTGAAAGGGGAGAAACACAGACTGGCCTTTCAGAGCCCTGGGAGAGGATGGGAGATCTCTTCTCTTTGAAGTGCCAATTAATTTGGTGGGAGGTTTCATGGAAACCATTAAAGATTTTTATTAATATAGCATTGGTAACACGAAAGGACTAATGAGAAATTTAAGGACATTCTAAGGCTGAACTTGGAGTAAACCAAAGGAATTTCCTCATTAATGGTCATTCAGTGGCAAAGGCAGCTATAATTAGGAGAATGTGGAAGGTTCTGCAGGGTGGTGGTGAATTCAGAGAAGGTGCCGGAGGTAAGGGCAGGATATCTAGAGTCAAAACTCAGTCAAGTCTCAACATAGCACTGAGACACATGAACATCATAAGCATCCAGCCTTGACATCTTCTTCCACTTCAGCCACAGCTATCCCTTCCTACCTCACTGTGCTCTGGAGGGGGGACCCACACATGGAATGTGTGCCTTGGTTGCCAGGAATATCAGCCATTGCACAGACCTCAGGAAGGTCTATTAAAGGCATGCCATGTGAAGAAGATGGGGACTTTCCTTGCCACCTCTTCTGAGGGGACTGAGGCATGGATATGCCAGAATCTTTATTAATGAATCCTCTTAGGAGAAAAATTTCTGACAAAGAAACATGGATCAAATCAGTGCCATGCAGATGGATATCTTCTCAGAAAAATAAAAGAAAATTGCCATTTCAGGGGACTTTGTTCATCCTGCCACCTCTGCCTCCATCCTTCTGAGCTAGAGTCTCAGATTCCTCCTTTTAGAAGTAACTGGTTTGTCTAACAAGAAGCTAAATGACAATAGGAAGGTGTTGAAGAAGATGGAAACAAACCAAAGAAACTATTTTGAGGATATTTCATAGCCATTATGCATTGCCGCAGTCTGTCTGGGCACAATTCAGGAGCCACTTGTCAAAAGAAACTAACTTTATTTTTAGAACTACACACGCCAAACAAAACAGCTCCTCAGGAAAAAAACCCTCAGAGCCCAACTGCCACCACCGGCTTCCACAAGCCTCTCACCCACACAAACCTCACCACCTCCCACAATCCTCCTGTTCTTGAGGCCGATTGGCTGGGTCGCT